CCCACCCCCCTTGGGATAAGAGGAAATAAACAAGAACAAGAACTAGAAAGAAAATAGAAGAAAACCCAGAGGGGTGTGTATATAGTATATGCTTGTACATGTATGTACTCGCCTATTTGTACTCACCTATTTGTGGTTGCAGGGGTCGAGTTATAGCTCCTGGCCCCGCCTCTTCGCTGATTGCTACTAGGTCCTCTCTCTCCCTGCCCCATGAACTTTATCATACCTCGCCTTAAAACTATGTATGGTTCGTGTCTCCACTACGTCACTTTCTAGGGTATTCCACGGCCTGACTACTCTATGACTGAAGAAATACTTCCTAACATCCCTTAGAATCATCTGAGTCTTCAACTTCCAATTGTGACCTCTTGTGTCTGTGTCCCTTCTCTGGAACATCCCGTCTTTGTCCACCTTGTCTATTCCGCGCAGTATTTTATATGTCGTTATCATGTCTCCCCTGAACCTCCTGTCCTCCAGTGTCGTCAGGCTGATTTCCCTCAACCTTTCTTCGTAGGACAATCCCCGTAGCTCTGGGACTAGTCTTGTTGCAAACCTTTGCACTTTCTCTAATTTCTTGATGTGCTTGACTAGGTGTGGATTCCAAACTGGTGCTGCATACTCCAGTATGGGCCTGACATAAATGGTATACAGAGTCTTGAACGAATCCTTACTGAGGTATCGGAACGCTATCCATAGGTTTGCCAGGCGCCCGTATGCTGCAGCAGTTATCTGATTGATGTGCACCTCAGGAGATATGCTCAGTGTTATACTCGTCCCCAGATCTTTTTCCTTGAGCGAGGTTTGCAGTCTTTGTCCATCTAAACTATATTGTGTCTGCAGTCTTCTATGCCCTTCCCCAATCTTCATGACTTTGCATTTGGCAGGGTTAAACTCAAGGAGCCAGTTGCTGAACCAGGCTTGTAGCCTGTCCAGGTCTCTTTGTAGTCCTGCCTGATCCTCATCCGATTTGATTCTTCTCATTAACTTCACATCATCTGCAAACAAGGACACTTCTGAGTCTATCCCTTCCATTATGTCATTCACAAATACCAAGAACAGTACAGGTCCTAGGACTGACCCCTGTGGAACCCTGCTTGTCACAGGCGCCCACTCTGACACCTCGTCACGTACCATGACTCGTTGTTGCCTCCCTGTCAGGTATTCTCTGATCCATTGCAGTGCCTTTCCTGTTATGTGTGCCTGATCCTCTAGCTTTTGTAGTAACCTCTTGTGAGGAACTGTGTTGAAGGCCTTCTTGCAGTCCAAAAAAATGCAGTCGATCCACCCCTCTCTCTCTTGTCTTACTTCTGTCACCTTGTCATAAAACTCCAGTAGGTTTGTGACACAGGATTTTCCTTCCCTGAAACCGTGCTGGTTGTCAATTATACACTTGTTTCTTTCCAGGCGCTCCACCACTCTCCTAAGTGTAAGTAGAAGTAGCAAGACGTGCCTGAAATCTTGCATGTTTATGAGGCAGAAAAAAAGACACCAGCAATCCTACTATCATGTAAAACAATTACAGGCTTTTATTTTACACTCACTTGGCAAGATGGTAGTACCTCCCTGGGTGGTTGCTGTCTACCAACCTACAGAGCTCACTTTCCCACAGAGCTTTGAACAAGTCACCTTCCCCAAAAGGGGTTCTAACGAGCATACCCTTCAAGACAGCTAACAAGTTTCCCTTCCGCAGAGAGAATCCCGTGGGTGAGCCGAGGTTCCGAAAGCCGAGGTCGTGGGCAAGGTAAAGGAGGCAAGTACTGTGTAGCCCGGGGTTTAAAATGGAGGGTGACCCTGTCTTGACCTGCTCCTCCCAAGGGGGAATGGCAAGGTCAACCCCGATGTCAAAGGTTAGTATCAAAGAATTTTTTTATTTTATTATTTTTATTTTTTTTATTATTTTTATTTTATTATTAGTAAGAGTAGTAGTGTATAAGTATAGTAGTAGTAGTTAAGTAGTACATTATTATTATCCATTGTAAATTATTTATTATTATTATTCTTAGTGACCACCCACAAACTTTCCTTCTCACTATTTGACCTGTATGACATGTGCTGACCTTGCATTGACCTCCCACTGACCTCTCACCCACCTTGCACTGACCTCTCATTGACCTCACACTGGCCTTGCACTGACCTTTCACAGACCTAGCACTGAGGTCTCACTGACCTTTCCCTCACCTCTCACTGACCTAGCACTGACCTTTCCCTCACCTCTCACTGACCTCTCGCTGACCTCCCTCAGAGTCACAGTGCCCACCACCAGACCACGTACCACATGGGTTCTTCGAGGTGGCCAACTTCCGGGGAGTATATGGCCTGGGTACGGTGGCCACATACATCTGTAACCCTGGGTACATCCTACTGGGCAACACCAGCCGCACCTGTGACCACACTGGCCACTGGACCAACCAGTCTCCAGTCTGCCAAGGTACCACAGTGTTAGAGAAGTGCTAAACCCGCAGGGCTCATGTCATTGGTGTCAGCTATGATCTGTATACCTGTACATATACATGTACTTGTAGAAATAAAGATTTTTATTATTATTATTACAGTATTACTATTATTACAGTGTCTGGGGATCGGTAGGTAATCAGGGGTGATCCGAGGAAGGGGAGGGTGGCTTTAGTTCCTTGGATCAAGAGCATTTTACCTCCTGGACTGGTCTAAGTTACCTTAATATTAACTCAACAGTCATAATTTTGATGCAAAATAGTCATATAAACTCATGTAAATTTTCATATACGTATATAAAAAAACGTTATCTATGGAGGCAAAGAAGGGAATGTATGAAAGTAGAGTAGTACCAACACTCTTATATGGGTGTGAAGCTTGGGTTGTAAATGCTGCAGCAAGGAGGTGGTTGGAGGCAGTGGAGATGTCCTGTCTAAGGGCAATGTGTGGTGTAAATATTATGCAGAGAATTAGGGGTGTGGAAATTAGGAGGTGTGGAGTTAATAAAAGTATTAGTCAGAGGGCTGAAGAGGGGTTGTTGAGGTGGTTTGGTCATTTAGAGAGAATGGATCAAAGTAGAATGACTTGGAGAGTGTATAAATCTGTAGGAGAAGGAAGGCGGGGTAGGGGTCGTCCTCGAAAGGGTTGGAGGGAGGGGCTAAAGGAGGTTTTGTGGGGGAGGGGCTTGAACTTCCAGCAAGCATGCATGAGCTTGTTAGATAGGAGTGAATGGAGACGAATGGCATTTGAGACCTGACAATCTGTTGGAGTGTGAGCAGGGCAATATTTAGTGAAGGGATTCAGGGAAACTGGTTATTTTTATATAGCTGGACTTGAGTCCTGGAAATGAGAAGTACAATGCCTGCACTCTAAAGGCGGAGTTTGTGATATTGGCAGTTTTGAGGGCTGTGTTGTGTATCTTTATATGTATATACAGTGGACCCCCGCATAACGATGGCATCACATAGCGATTTTTCCGCATACCGATTACTTTTATCGCAAAATTTTTGCCGCGCATACCGATTAAAAACCCGCTTACCGATTTTCGTCCGAGACGCGTCCAATGTGCCCTCAGCCAGCCTCACATGTGCCGGCCGTCCCATTGTTTACCAGCCAGCCTCCGCGGTAACATCCAAGCATACACTCGGAATATTTCGTATTATTACAGTGTTTTCGGTGCTGTTTCTGGAAAATAAGTGACCATGGGCCCCAAGAAAGCTTCTAGTGCCAACCCTGTGGTAAAAAGGGTGAGAATTAGTATGGAAATTAAGAAAGATTTTGAAGGGTTTGGGGCTAACCCTGAGAAGCCTATGCCAGTTGTGGAATCCATTGTGCCTACTTCAAAGATTAAGGAAATGTGTGCACAGTGGGTTGAACTGCAAACCTTTATAGATGAAAATCACCCTGACACAGCTGTTGCAAGCCGTGCTGGTGACTATTTCAATGACAATGTTGTGGCCCATTTTAGACAAATCGTAAAGGAACGGGAGGTACAGAGCTCTATGGACAGATTTGTTGTGCGACAGAGGTCCAGTGACTCTCAAGCTGGTCCTAGTGGCATTAAAAGAAGAAGGGAAGTAACCCCGGAAAAGGACTTGCTACCTCAAGTCGTAATGGAAGGGGATTCCCCTTCTAAACAGTAAGAAGATAATGCTCTCCCCTCCTCCCATCCCATCAATCATCACCAGATCTTCAATAAAAGTAAGTGTCATTTAATTGTGCATGCCTTTTTCAGTTTGTGTGTATTAAAATTAACATTTCATGTGGTAAAAAAAATTTTTTTTCATACTTTTGGGCGTCTTGCACGGATTAATTTGATTTCCATTATTTCTTATGGGGAAAATTCATTCGCATAACGATTATTTCGCATAACGATGAGCCCTCTTGCACGGATTAAAATCGTTAACCGGGGGTCCACTGTACTTCTAAACTGTTGTGTTCTGAGCACCTCTGCAAACACAGTGATTATGTGTGAGGTGAAAGTGTTGAATGATGATGAAAGTATTTTCTTTTTGGGGATTTTCTTTCTTTTTGGGTCACCTTGCCTTGGTGGGAGACGGCCGACTTGTTAGTATATATATACATATATATATACAGTGGACCCTCGACCAATGATGGCATCGTATAACGTTAAATCCAACTGGTGATACATTTTAACGCAAAAATTTTGCCTCGACTAACGCTAAAAAACTCGACCAATGCGATTCATTCCGTTCGAGATGTGTCCACATGTGGCCTGAGCATGCCTCACTTGTCCCGTGGGTGCCAGTGTTTACAAGCCAGCCAGCCACCGCGGTTGCATCCAAACATACAATCGGAACATTTCATATTATCACAGCGTTTTTAGTGATTGCACCTGCAAAATAAGTCACCTTGGGCCCCAAGAAAGCTCTAGTGCCAACCCTACAGCAAAAAGGGTGAGAATTACTATGGATATGAAGAAAGAGATCATTGCTAAGTGTGAAAGTGGAGTGCATGTCTCTGAGCTGGCCAGGTTGTACACAAAACCCCAATCAACCATCGCTACTATTGTGGCCAAGAAAACGGCAATCAAGGAAGCTGTTCTTGCCAAAGGTGCAACTATGTTTTCGAAACTGAGATCGCAAGTGATAGAAAATGTTGAGAGACTGTTATTGGTGTGGATAAACGAAAAACAGATAGCAGGAGATAGCATCTCTCAAGCGATCATATGTGAAAAGGCTAGGAAGTTGCATGATGATTTAATTAGAAAAATGCCTGCAACTAGTGGTGATGTGAGTGAATTTAAGGCCAGCAAAGGTTGGTTTGAGAGATTTAAGAATTGTAGTGGCATACATAGTGTGATAAGGTGAGGCTGCCAGTTCAGTACATAGTGTGATATGGTGAGGCTGCCAGTTCAGACCAAAAAGCAGCTGAAAAATATGTGCAGGAATTCAAGGAGTACATAGACAGTGAAGAATTGAAACCTGAACAAGTGTTTAATTGTGATGAAACAGGCCTGTTTTGGAAGAAAATGCCAAGCAGGACCTACATTACTCAGGAGGAAAAGGCACTCCCAGGACATAAGCCTATGAAAGACAGGCTTACTCTGTTGAAGTGTGCTAATGCTAGTAGTGATTGCAAAGTGAAGCCTTTATTGGTGTATCACTCTGAAACTCCCAGAGTGTTTGGGAAAAACAATGTCCTCAAGGCTAATTTGTGTGTGCATGGTTACACCATGCATTTGCCCCCACTGTGAAAAATTACCTCCTGGAAAATAAATTGGACCTTAAGTGCCTCCTGGTATTAGACAGTGCTCCTGGTCATCCTTCAGACTTGGCAGAGCGACTTTCTGGGGACATGAGCTTCATCAAGGTCAAGTTTTTGCCTCCTAATACCACTCCTCTCCTGCAGCCCATGGACCAGCAGGTCATTGCAAACTTCAAAAAACTCTACACAAAAGCTATGTTTGAAAGGTACTTTGTAGTGACCTCAGAAACTCAATTGACTCAAAGAGAGTTTTGGAGAGATCACTTTAGCATCCTCAGTTGTGTAAACATTATAGGTAAGGCTTGGGAGGAAGTGACTAAGAGGACCTTGAATTCTGCTTGGAAGAAACTGTGGCCAGAATGTGTAGACAAAATGGATTTTGAAGGATTTGAGGCTAAACCTGAGAAGCCTATGCCAGTTGTGGAATCAATTGTGGCATTGGGGAAGTCCTTGGGGTTGGAGGTTAGTGGGGAGGATGTGGAAGAGTTGGTGGAGGAGGGCAATGAAGAACTAACCACTGATGAGCTGCAAGATCATCTTCAACAGCAAGAGGCCAGACCTGAGGAAACTGCTCTGGAGGAGGGGATAGAGAAATTGAAGAAGTTGTCTACTTCAAAAATTAAGGAAATGTATGCAATGTGGCTTAAAGTGCAAACCTTTTTTGATGAAAATCACCCTCACACAGCTATTGCAAGCCGTGCTGGTGACTATTACACTGACAATGTTGTGAAACACTTTAGGAATGTCATAAAGGAACGGGAGGTACAGGCCTCTATGGACAGATATGTTGTGCGACAGAGGTCCATTGTCTCTCAAGCTGGTCCTAGTGGCATTAAAAGAAGAAGGGAAGTAACCCCGGAAAAGGACTTGACACCTCAAGTCCTAATGGAAAGGGATTCCCCTTCTAAACACTAACACCATCCACACTCTCCCCTCCTCCCATCCTATCAATCATCACCAGATCTTCAATAAAGGTAAGTGTCATGTAATTGTACATGTCTTCTTCAGTTTGTGTGTATTAAAATTAATATTTCATGTGGTAAAATTTTTTTTTTTTCAATACTTTGGAGTGTCAGGAACGGATTAATTTGATTTCCATTATTTGTTATGGGGAAAATTAACTCGACTAACGATGAGCTCTCAGGAACGGATTAATATCGTTGGTCGAGGGTCCACTGTATATACATACATATAGTATATAATATATATATATATATATATATATATATATATATATATATATATATATATTATATAATATATATATATAATATATATATATTATATTATATATATAATCTTTCTTTAAACACACTGGCCGTATCCCACCGATGCAGGGTGGCCCAAAAGGAAAAACGAAAGTTTCTCCTTTTACATTTAGTAATATATACAGGAGAAGGGGTTACCAGCTCCTTGCTCCTGGCATTTTACTCGCCTCTTACAACACGCATAGCTTACGGAGGAAGAATTCTGTTCCACTTCCCCATGGAGGTAAGAGGAAATAAACAAGGACAAGAACTAGAAAGAAAATAGAAGAAAACCCAGAGGGGTGTGTATATATATGTTTGTACAAGTATATGTAGTGTGACCTAAGTGTAAGTAGAAGTAGCAAGATGTACCTGAAACCTTGCATGTTTATGAGACAGAAAAATGGACACCAGCAATCCTACCATCGTGTAAAACAATTACAGGCTTTCGTTTTACACTCACTTGGCAGGACGGTAGTACCTCCCTGGGCAGTTGCTGTCTACCAACCTACTACCTATATATGTATATATATATATATATTTCTTTCAACACACCGGCCGTATCCCACCGAGGCGGGGTGGCCCAAAAGGAAAAACGAAAGTTTCTCCTTTTACATTTAGTAATATATACAGGAGAAGAGGTTACTAGCCCCTTGCTCCCGGCATTTTAGTCGCCTCTTACAACACGCATGGCTTACGGAGGAAGAATTCTGTTCCACTTCCCCATGGAGATAAGAGGAAATAAACAAGAATAAGAACTAGAAAGAAAATAGAAGAAAACCCAGAGGGGTGTGTATATATGTGCTTGTACATGTATGTGTAGTGGGACCTAAGTGTAAGTAGAAGTAGCAAGACGTACCTGAAAACTTGCATGTTCATGAGACAGAAAAAAGGACACCAGCAATCCTACCATCATGTAAAACAATTACAGGCTTTCGTTTTACACTCACTTTGGCAGGACGGTAGTACCTCCCTGGGCGGTTGCTGTCTACCAACCTACTACCTAGGATATATATATATATATATATATATATATATATATATATATATATATAATATATATATATATATTATATATATATATATATATATATTTTCTTTCTTTCAACAAACCGGCCATATCCCACCGAGGCGGGGTGGCCCAAAAGGAAAAATGAAAGTTTCCCCTTTCAAATTTAGTAATATATACAGGAGAAGGGGTTACTAGCCCCTTGCTCCCGGCATTTTAGTCGCCTCTTACGACACACATGACTTACGGAGGAAGAATTCTGTTCCACTTCCCCATGGAGATATATATATATATATACATGTATTGTCATAATATGAAGGTTCCTTGATACTAGAAAGGGGCTCTTGATATACAGAATTAGACGTGTCTTTTGATTCTTGAATATCGTCAATTCCCCCAGGCTCCGTATGACCCCTGTGGGTTTATGGTTCCTCCTTCCATGACTCTGATGTAATAATATTCCCCTAAAATTCTTCAGAGAAACTGGATAGCCGGACTTGAGTCCTGGAAGTGGGAAGTACACTCTGAAGGAGGGGTGGGAATCCTGGAGGTGGAAAATGCACTCTGAAGGATGGGCAGGGATCTTGGAGGTGTGAAATACACTCTGAAGGATGGGTGGGAATCCTGGAGGTGGGAAGTACACTCTGAAGGATGGGTGGGAATCCTGGAGGTGGGAAGTACACTCTGAAGGATGGGTGGGGATCCTGGAAGTGGGAAGTACACTCTGAAGGATGGGTGGGAATGTTGGAGGTGGGAAGTACACTTTCATTCATTCATTCAAAGTTTATTCTCTATAAGGATTACAATGCTGAGTTTACAGAATTTGGTTATTGTGTGGTTTACATGTAGTAAAATAATAATTACAGAGTGTACCACTAGCACTAGAACACCTAGCATGGCTAGGCATTTCGGGCAGACTTAGTTTAATTCTTAAATTTAAAATATTACAAATTATGAGGTAAATTGGTATTATGGCTAAGTGACTAAATACTAGTTTGTGAGTTTAGCAATGTGAATGCTTTTGTTTTGGCACAGTACATAGTTTCAGTATTGGAGTATCACAGGCCAACTTGTGACTAGTTAGGATTCATTATTTTAAGATTGAAGGATGGGTGGGAATCCTGGATGTAAGAAGTACACTCTGAAGGAGGGGTGGGGATCCTGGAGGTGGGAAGTACAGTGCCTATACTCTGAAAGAGGAGTGGAGATCCTAGAATCCTGGAGGTGAGAGGTCCATTGTCTACAAAGGATCCCAATGGAAATAAGTCACTTTGTCTGACTTTTTTGGGTTAACCTCGGTTCTCTACACACATGCTGCTATGTATGATAATCTGTGTAACTGTATTTGTGTAAACTTGAATAAATTTACACTCTGAAGGAGGGGTGGAGATATATTGCAATTTTTGAACTACAGTATCAGCACACCTCTGGCAAGACAGTGGATGGAGTGAGCGATGATGAAAGTGTTTCTTCTTTTTCTGGGTCACCCTGCCATGGTGGGAAATGGCCATTGTGTTAAAAAAAAATCTTACACTCCCTTATCCCCTTTACCCCTTATATAAGGAAACTATACGTGCTCTCAGCCAATCCATAGGTTGACCTAGAACTTAACTCAACGTGTGGTGTTGCAGGAGTGACATGTGGACCTCCTCCAGTCTTCCCACATGCTAGACACACACTCATCAACGGCTCCACAAGCTGGAATGGTATTGCTGTCTACACCTGCAGTGATGGTTACAGGCTCCACAGAGGTGATTTAGCTCTTAGTTATGATCATACAGCCTCTCCTCACTTAGTAATGTACTAATATACCGACCACTCGAACTTAAGACCAGGTCTCCAGCCAGTATGCAAACCTAAATAATGTATAAATAACGTTTACTGACCTGCTCTTAGAAACAGAACCCCATCATTAAGTGAGGAGAAGCAGTAATAATAATATAAATTAAGACATTCCTATTATTAGAGAGAAATATGTTTTGAACTGTTATTCTGTTTATATTTTTTCAGATACGGGTGACACGGTGACAACATGTATGGACACGGGTGTCTGGCGTTTGATCAATGTGACATGTGTGGAGATTGAGATGCCACTGTCCCCTATAGCAGGTGTGAGACGAGGCGAGGGTCGTGCTCTTACATACGACCTACCTCATACCCCTGCAGAATCTCAGGGGACCCAGGGTCTGGTTGTGGCCCTGGCAGTTGTAGCAGGCCTCCTGACAGCTGCGATGCTGGTAGTCGGGACCCTACTGGCTAGACGACACCTAATTTCTAGCCCTGGTTCTCTCCGTTCACTGGTTAGATCGACTCCTACTAAGGACTCTACGCTGTACGGTGTTATGGTGGGTCCCCGACACCATGATGTGTCAGCAGCTGTCAGTAGCAGCAGTGTCGTAGCTGTCACTGATGGTCCCATTGTAGGCAGTGTTGTACCAGTGGAACCAGGTGTAAGATCAACATTGTATCAGCAGAATATCTTGGCGAACTTACCTTTACGACCAGATGACCAAGTGACCTCAATCACAGAGTCAGAGTTTGACGACGATCCGAACTACGCTCACATAAACGGCCAGGAACCTCCATATGAACGTGTCAGGTCACGCTCTGAACATAGCTATGAAACGCTACGCAAGAAGTCTGTCATTTCAGAATTTGGAAGTGAATCTGGAAGTGTGAGAGAAGTAGGTGACAAGGACAGCATTGGCTATGAGTCTGTGAAGGAAAATAAGAGCCATGATGCAGGATATGAAGTAGTCAAGGAGAAGGATCATGATTATGAAACACTCAAGGATAAAGATCCCAATTATGAGACGGTCCAAGACTCTCCGGATCATGGCTATGAGACAGTGAAGGAATCAGGGCCTCACCACGGCTATGAGACCCTCAAGCCAAAGCCTCCACCACCCAGAATAGGAATGCAGTCTTCCATTCCCACTGACAGTGAAGAAAATGTCCCCGATATCCTACAAAACCTGGAAAGTGATGCCCCGATGCCAGATGTGCCTCCTGAGATCCTAGCCATGTATGCCCGTGTGGATAAGAGTAAAAAACGTCGGCGTATAGATGCCACGAATGATTCCGAGAAGCCCAAGGGCATTAATGCTTGTTCACCAGTGCCACCCACACCACCACACTCACCTCTAAGCTCCAGCACCAGCAGCACCACCAGCATCAGTGATCCCCCAACGGATATCAGCTATGTTAGTGAGGGTCCTCCGGGATCCTATGTTGCCAAGGATCTCATTCGAAAATTCAACCGGCTGACTAGTGAAGAGGAGATATGTCCACGACCCCGCAGCAGACAAGGGAGTATTGCTAGTGATACAGGCAGTCTGCGTCCTCTCCCACCACTTCCCAAAGATGCATCAATAACCTTGCAACATACAATAGACAATTGTTAGTGACACAGGCAGTCTGTAGTATCGTCCACCATTTCCCAAAGATGTGTCATCACCCTTGCAACATGCTGGCAGTCTGTAGCATCTTCCACCATTTGCCAATGCATTGACATAGTAGCTCTCAAGACTACAGTGTGGTGACCCTTCAGTGGGGTGGAAAACTTACCATCACTTTCAATAGTTGGACCAGTAAGCCAGTGAAAGATCTGTCATATGACTGAAAACTCTACTCTGTCAGTTATCATAGAACTACATCAGGAAATATTTTCATATCAAACAAAGATGTAAAACAAGAAAAGTGATAGACACTGAAGTAATGTGTTTATTGATATGTTGTACCTGTGAGTGCCCATTATTAAGTACGTACATAGAACAATGTGGAAGAACTTTAACTTACATAGAGCCTCCAAGGCAGGTGATCCGCTATAACTTTAAAGATAGGCTGAGCAAATGTATGACAAGGCTTGGATTTGAGTAAGACCTGCCTAGAATGGGCCACTTAATGTTTAAATAAGCTGAGCAGTTGCACTGCAAGAAGTCTACTGGCCTATGCTAGATTTTCTTTGTTTCAATATATGTGATGTGGGAGTTGCCAGAGTGAATACCAGACCACCTGCCTTAGAGGCTCTGTATAAGCTGTATTATTATTATTATTATTATTATAAACATAACTAAGTACTAAACCCATAAGGGTGATATATATGTATATTATATGTTTACCTGGAGAGAGTTCCGGGGGTCAACACCCCCGCGGTCCGGTCTGTGACCAGGCCTCCTGGTGGATCAGAGCCTGATCAACCAGGCTGTTACTACTGGCTGCACGCAATCCAACATACGAGCCACAGCCCAGCTGGTCAGGTACCGACTTTAGGTGCTTGTCCAGTGCCAGCTTGAAGACAGCCAGGGGTCTATTGGTAATCCCCCTTGTGTATGCTGGGAGGCAGCTGAACAGTCTCGGACCCCTGACACTTATTGTATTGTCTCTTAACGTGCTAGTGACACCCCTGCTTTTCATAGAGGGGATGTTGCATCGTCTGCCGAGTCTTTTGCTTTCGTTGTGAGTGGTGCAAGTATGTAAAGCATAATTTTTTCCTCATTGTTCTATATATTTGATAATGGACACTAGTAGGTACAGTGTACTAATGAACACATCACTGAGATATATGTATATATACTAGATATTTTTTATATATATCATGACAAAATATCACTGCCTAATAATGTCAAACTGTTTATTATAACCTCATCTTCAGCCAGGATTGGCAGTGATAAACTACCAATGATAACAAATATGTAATAGCATCGCATTCCAACATTGGGATTTTCAAGTCGATGTGGGAAACAACAGCTTAGTCCACCGGGAGTGACACCACTTGTTCAGGTGTCATCCACTTATAATAATAATAATAATAATAATAATAATAATAATAATAATAATAATAATAATAATAATAATATTTATTTCTACATGTACAAGGTACATGCATGTTCATTTTGGGCAGGAACAAGGGCCAGTAGGCCTCCTGCAGTGCACACTGCAAAAATTCTACTCATACCACAAGCACATTACACCTAAATAAATGATGCCATTCCCTGTGGAAAAAGCCAATGATGTTTTTCAGGTCTGCTATGTACCTGAAAAGGCCCAGTGTCGGGTAACACTGCTTAAGTACAGGTCTTGACTACCATCATATATCAGCTACCAGAGTGAAACAGCACCACCTCTATACTACGATACTCACAGTATTAATGTATATATTAACCTTAGCACTTGAGTCTTAGAATTATCCCAATCCATTCCATATTCATGCTAACTTTAACTATCTTGAAGCCTCTCTGCTCTCTCTGTTAGTTTAATATCTCTGTTATTCACCCTATACCCATGCTGTAGACGGTAGTCAAAAGATTACAGAGGCACATAATAATAATATAATATAATAATAATAATAATCTTTATTTCTACAAGTACGATACAACTTGTACAGGTCTAGCTGACATCAATGACATACTACTATATAGAAAGGCCTTTGTTATGCAGAGCATTTTGGGCAATTTAGGTCAATATTGTCCCAGGATGCAACCCACACCAGTTGGCTAACATCCAAGTACACCTACTTACTACTAGGTGAACATGGACAGCAGGTGTAAGGTGACTAACACCCAAGTATCTTCTTACTGCTTGGTAACATGGACAACATCGTGTCTTAAGGAAACACGTCGTAATGTTTCCACCCATACCGGGGATTGAACCCTGGACCTCAGTGATCATGCCCAGTTATGGGCATGATTATAACAGTCATAGTATAGCACTAAACTAGCCCTGGTTGACACACATCAAACGTGCTTGCAAAATGAATTAGGATTCCCAGATAGACATAAAATTCTATTTTATATTTTTATACCCTTACAAAACAGTAATTATTGTGGATATTTTATGTACAGTTGTGTATACATTCTGTAAATATATTGTACCGAGTTTTTGAAATACGAGAATTTAAGAAAATAAGAATTTTGATATATAATTAGTTTTCTGAGATGTTGTTTACTTACAGGTGTATATACGATAGCTGTGGATTTATGTATAGTACATAGACGTATATGTGAGTGATTTGCATACGTGTATATATCTAAAGGGTATCTCCTAGTGTATATATACTAACGGATGTGTATCTGTATATACACAATTGTATATCTCTGTTAATACTTCCAAAGGTGTATATCCCCTAGTGTATATGCACTGATAGATATGTGTCAGTATATATAAACTGATGAGTATATATCAATATACACTGGTGGGTATGTATCAATGTATATACCCAGTTGTGCATCTCTATACTGAGAGATAAACACCTGAATATACCTGAGCTTATATTAATCCCTTTTTTAAGGATTAACAAATTCTTGATTAGACGTGCACAGGTTAACCGCAGCCTTAATGGCCTTCATGCAGTAGATAGGCTTTAAACCCAGTGACCTACATAACCAAAGACAGTAATAAGGTGTGTATATATCTGTGTATACAACTAAAGTATAGAGTAATCCCTGTTTTAGGGAGTAAAATGATCTTGACGTCAGTATGCACAGGCAGTCTTTAAAGCAAGCAAACTGACCTGCAAAGACAATCTTTTTCTTTTTTAAAATAAATTTTGATTTCCTATAAAAGCAACAAACATTATTTACCAAATTTATATCGTTTAAATTTTACGGAAAAGCAAAATTTATGTAGTTTTTGATTGAAAACCATATATTAATTTTTGCCTGTGGTATTATGAAAGCAGTAAATTGATGTATTGTGGTCCTACCTACAAATACAAAATACAAATAATCTATTTCTTTTCCGTAGTAAACAGATAATGTAGTTCATGTAAGATAATAGTGTTAGGCAGAAATGAAAGCCACTAGCAGGCTGTGCACTTCAGGCACCTCTGATGATATTTTTGGTGAAACATGCATACAGTAGGCATATGTATGATCAAAAGCATGTATAATCATATACGTACATGTGTATTTTGGTATTGTTTGTAATGAATACATAATAAACACAGAAGTTAAGTTAGGTTAATATCTTTATTATGCTCCCCATATGCATAATGTGGGAGGTAGTCAAAAGATTACAGAAGCACATAATGGGTCCAGGGACTGTACCTTAACATTACAGAGGCACATAATAGGTTCAGGGACTGGACCTCAACATTACAAACCCACATAATGGATCCAGGGAGTGTACTCAACATTACAGAGCCACATAATGGGTTCAGGGACTGTATCTCAATATTACAGAGGCATATAATGGGTCCAGGGATTGTACCTCAACATTACAGAGCCACATAATGGGTCCAGGGACTGTACACCAACATTACAAAGCCACATAATGGATCACAGGGACTGTACTCAACATTACAGAGCCACATAATGGGTCCATGGACTGTACCTCAACATTAGAGCCACATAATGGGTTCAGGGACTGTATCTCAACATTACAGAGGCATATAATGGGTCCAGGGATTGTACCTCAACATTACAGAGCCACATAATGGGTCCAGGGACTGTACATCAACATTACAAAGCCACATAATGGATCACAGGGACTGTACTCAACATTATAGAGCCACATAATGGGTCCATGGACTGTACCTCAACATTAGAGCCACATAATGGGTTCAGGGACTGTATCTCAACATTACAGAGCCACATAATGGGTCCAGGAACTGCACCTTGACATTAGAGCCACATAATGGGTCCAGGGACTGTACCTTGACATTAGAGCCACATAATGGGCCCAGGGACTGTACCTCGACATTAGAGCCACATAATGGGTCCAGGAACTGGGCCACAAAGTTTTGATAGCTGAACAAGTTACAGTGGTAATGAACCATTTAGTACACATTTGTATCTGGTTATGATCACAATGATTATTTATGCAGTCAAGAATTAGCTAAGAATGGAAATAAATCAGTGACTGTAACAGGTTATCATAGGTTATTTCTACATCACTGCACATTTTATGTATCCAGATCATCCGTTTGCCATCAAGACCACTGTAAAATAATTTGACTGTTTTATACCCAAAGCCTAAATAAAAGCTTAACTGTACCAAACCTCACACTGTATCATACAGTCAGGAATTTGTAAATATATTCTATATTATACAGTATTTAACCTGGCTTCCCTCCCCTGCCTTGTATCAAACCTGATTGTCTTCTGTTCACCTAGGCACTCTATGACTTTAATAATAATAATAATAATAATAATAATAATAATAATATTGACCTGACTGAATTTTTTTTTAACTTGCCTGGTTTTAATTACCATTCTTTTATTTTATTATATTTAGTGTTGCTGTACATAAACTCTTTCATTATTATTGTTTAAAGTCAAAAATTATTGCTATATATTATGTATTTATTTATATTTCACCAGCCTTAAATTTCCATGTAAATATATAACTCTTAAAATATTACATTATTCTATAGCAAGAGAGTTCTGACTGAGAGTTTTTCCTGTACAGTTAGTTTAAGTCATGATTTATATTGTGAAATTATTTTGAAGGTCAATTTATGTATGGAAAGTATGAATTTTGTCATTATTGAATGCATTTGTCAAAGTCAGATTTATTTCTACACGATATAATGTCTGTACAGAATATGGACGACATTTGGTTGTGCCTGCAGAAAGCCCGTGGTTATGCCAAGCATTTGATGTTTTTAGACTAATGCCTAGCTCCAGCATTGTTCATTATTTTTATTGACAGAATTTACTACGTATCAGAGGGTCACCAGTACACACAGTAGTGCGGGGTAAATGTGGAGGCATCCTGCCCTTAGCAGGTGTGGGGCCTGGAATGGTGTCCTGGTTGTCTCCTCTGCCAACACCATCACTGCTACCATAGCCAGGGAATATACCTGGATGTGCGTCTGTGTGTGACCAGCCGGGCTGTGGTTGGTATGATGGTTTTGTGTTGCCAGTAGTAACAGCCTGGTTGATTAGGTCCTGATCCACCACGAGGCCTGATCATAAACTGGGCATGGGGACGTTGGCCCCAAAACATCCTGCAGGTATACTGTCATTTTGGTGGGCAACATGCTGTTTGACCCTGTCCTGCCGAGCCCGACCTGTCATTAACCACTGAGATCAATATTGCTGTCTAGCCTCGGCTATTTTCACTATAATCTTTCCTCTCCCCTACTATTCTCCTAGCCTCACTTCCCACTCACCCTCATGGGTCTTAACCCGAGAGTCAGTCTAGTCTAGTATAGGCATACACAGTGAGAGGTGTATGTCTCCTGGTGTATATACATTGAGAGTTTAATGACTATTTTAGGAATTAAAGTACATATTCTGGTCTGGACTGGTAGTGAACAAGTGACAAGCAGCTTTAATGGCCTCGTGTATCGTTAAGCTTTACGCCTAATTGACCAAACAACCATCAGAGTCCCACAGAGAAAAACAATTGAGTGAATTTATGGGAAAGTCTAATTTGTATATTAATTGCATAGATTTAATTTTATGAGAAATACAGCAGTATGACAGTTAGCTCTTCCATGGCTTGTAAGATGTCTAGCTAAAATTATTTGCATAATAAAACTTACATGAGGAATATTATACAAGATAATGCAAGTTTTGAATATCTATTACATATACAACAACTGCTCTGTTGGAAAAGATGGTTAACCTCAATAAGCTCAAAAAAGTGTTTAGTTTTGTTTAGTTTCTTAACCTTGTGGAAATACAAAACATTTGCTATGTAAGTTCAAACTCACTTCTTTTCCGGTGGCCTGGTGGCTAAAGCTTCCCGCTTCACACACGGAGGGCCCAGGTTCGATTCCCGGCGGGTGGAAACATTCCGACACGTTTCCTTACACCTGTTGTCCTGTTCACCTAGCAGCAAATAGGTACCTGGGTGTTAGTCGACTGGTGTGGGTCGCATCCTGGGGGACAAGATTAAGGACCCCAATGGAAATAAGTTAGACAGTCCTCGATGACGCACTGACTTTCTTGGGTTATCCTGGGTGGCTAACCCTCCGGGGTTAAAAATCCGAATCGAAATCTTATCTTATCTTATCTTATCTTATACAGTAGTCCTCCCATATCCGTGGGGGATACATTCCAAGACCTACCGTGGATACCCAAAACCGATGGATTCAAATTCAAAGTTTATTCTCTATAAGGATTACAATGCTGAGTTTACAGAAATTTGGTTATTGGTTGGTTTACAACCAAACCCTATATTTAAGTTGCTTTTTGTTTATATACATAACTATAACAAACTTTAATTGGTAAATTATGCACAAGAAGTCGAGAATCCGCACTTTTTTTTTACTGATGGGAAGCACTTTATGGCTTTTCTTAGGCTTTGAAGAACTGCCACCATCACTACTGTTGCACTTTGGGGTCATTATTGAGCAAAATTAAGTGTTATTTTTGGGCCATGGAAAACAGTGGATAACTGAAACTGTGGAAACTGAATCCATGGATATGGGGTTCCACTGTATTCAGTATGTCTTCTATAACAGGAATCACTGTATTATTAATGGTATGCAATAGTGAGAATTTGATTAATAAGACACATGTGTAACACTCAAGTATCTTTATTTTCAGCAATAAAGATACCCGAGTGTTGCACATGTGTCTTATTCACCTACTAGAATCATGTCAGTTATGTGCTACAATGTGCTTAGGTAAAAAACTTGCAAAATTCCTTTTCGTATTTTCAACCGTATATAACCTACCGTAGAGTTCATGTGTAATATCACTTATTCTTACAAAAAGTTAACACTAGTTGTTTCAGACCTCTTGTAATATGTACAGCCTTTCCCACACTTGAGTACTGAAACACACTCATGGCAGTACTGTACATGGCAGTACTGTACATGGGAGTACTGTACATGGCAGTACTGTACATGGCAGTACTGTACGTGGCAGTACTGTACATGGCAGTACTGTACATGGCAGTACTGTATATGGCAGTACTGTACATGGCAGTACTGTACATGGCAGTACTGTACATGGCAGTACTGTACATGGCAGTACTGTACATGACAGCACTGTACATGGCAGTACTGTACATGGCAGTACTGTACATGGCAGTACTGTACATGGCAGTACTGTACATGGCAGCACTGTACATGACAGTACTGTACATGACAGCACTGTACATGGCAGTACTGTACATGGCAGCACTGTACATGACAGTACTGTACATGACAGCACTGTACATGGCAGTACTGTACATGACAGACTGTACATGGGAGTACTTACATGACAGACTGTACATGGCAGTACTGTACATGACAGTACTGTACATGGACAGACTGTACATGCAGTACTGTACATGACAGCACTGTAGACGCACTGGACAGACACTGTACATGGCAGTACTGTACGTGCAGCACTGTACATGACAGTACTGTACATGGCAGTACTGTACATGGCAGTACTGTACATGGCAGTACTGTACATGGCAGTACTGTACATGGCAGTACTGTACATGGCAAGCACTGTACATGGCAGTACTGTACATGACAGCACTGTACATGGGCAGTACTGTACATGGCAGTACTGTAATGACAGCACTGTACATGACAGATGTACATGGCAGTATGTACATGGCAGTACTGTACATGACAGTACTGTACATGGGCAGTACTGTACATGGCATTACTGTACATGACAGTACTGTACATGGCAAGTACTGTACATGGCATGTAACTGTACATGGCAGTTTCTGTACATGGCAGTTTCTGTACATGGCAGTACTGGTTTCATGGCAGTACTGTACATGAAAGCACTGTACATGGCAGTACTGTACATGGCAGTTTCTGTACATGGCAGTACTGTACATGGCAGTACTGTACATGGCGTACTGTACATGACAGCACTGTAACATTTGGCTGTACTGTACATGGCAGTACTGTACATGGCAGCACTGTACATGGTGTACTGTACATGACGCATGTACATGGCAGTACTGTACATGACAGCACTGTACATGGCAGTACTGTACATGACAGCACTGTACATGACAGCACTGTTCATGGCAGTACTGTACATGACAGCACTGTACATGACAGCACTGTACATGACAGCACTGTACATGGCAGTACTGTACATGACAGCACTGTACATGGCCCGTACTGTAAAATGACAGCACTGTACATGACAGCACTGTACATGACGCACTGTACATGACAGCACTGTACATGACCCGCACTGTACATGACAGCACTGTAATGACAGCACTGTACATGGCATTATGTACATGGCAGCACTGTACGTGGGAGTACTGTACATAGGAGTACAGTGGACCCCCGGTTAACGAACTTTTTTCATTCCAGTAGTATGTTCAAGCGCCAGTACTGACCGAATTTTTTCCCATAAGGAATATTGTGAAGTAGATTAGTCCATTTCAGACCCCCAAACATACACGTACAAACGCACTTACATAAATACACTTACATAATTGGTCGCATTTGGAGGTGATCGTTAAGCGGGGGTCCACTGTACTGTACATGGCAGTACTGTACATGGCAGTATTGTACTGTACATGGGAGTACTGAACATGGCAGTACTGTACATGGGAGAGAGAGGAATTGTAAGTCCACACTGAGGCCATCTGCTGAGAAGTATCTATCTACACACATCTATCTAAATTAAGGACTATCATGGTCTAAAAGTCTACTTGTTGCAATGAATATAATACTGAATTTGACAATGAATTAAGAGGTTAACAGAACTTTTTCATTCCCCCTGTCCAAGGAATCCATAAAATATAGTACGTAATTTTTTTTAATGCACCAGCCATCTCCCATGGAAGCAGGGTGACCTAAAAAGAAAAAATTAAAGTTTCTTTTTTTAATTTAGTAATTTATACAGGCAAAAGGGGTTACAAACAGTAAGTCGAGAATCAGCACTTTTTCAATGATAATTCTGGAAATAAATGGTATAAAATACCGACACAATGGAAATATAAACACAAATGCAGTATAATGTGATCCTTTATTGACTACGTTTCGCCCACACAGTGGGCTTTTGAAAAAGCCCACTGTGTGGGCGAAACGTGGTCAATAAAGGATCACATTATACTGCATTTGTGTTTATATTTCCAATGATAATTCTACAAATCACTGATTTTATTTGATTTGATCTGATTAATAAATTGTATAACTTCATATAGTATATTGATCATTTTGCTGTATTATACATTTTTCTGCTACAAATTTGTACGACTATGATGTTTCACAATTGAAATGTTCAAATTTCATTGTTTAAAATACTCATTTATACTCCTTATTGTAAATTGTTTACTGTAATTTTTACCACTGAATCTATCATTGCTTAATTAATCTTAAGTTAATTTTAAGGCTGCCCATAATGCTCTGCATACAAGTGGGCTTTTGACATGTACACCCAACTACTATAATTCCTTGTACAACTATGTACATTCTACAAGATTGATGGACTGAACACATCGACTCAAGGTTGAGGGACTGATTACCTCATTCTCCTCCTCTCCTTACGCCTTCCTCTTTGTATTGGACTGATGAAGCCACTGTGTGGCGAAACGTTTCCTGAATAAAGATTCCCATATGCTGCATAAGTGTCTCAATCTACAACTATGTATCATATCCAAATAAAAATTATTATTATTATTTACTACCAGTACATGTACAAGGTATACAGACCATAGCTGACATCAATGACATACTACTATATAAAAGCCGCTTGTTATGTAGAGCATTTTGGGCAAATTAGGTCAGTTTTTTCCCAGGGTGCGACCCACACCAGTCAACTAACACCCAGGTACCTATTTTACTGATGGGTGAACATGGACAACCGGTGTAAGGAAATACGTCTGATGTTGCCACCAGGCCATGGGGCACCAGATGGGAAGCATTTCACAGTTTCTCTTGGGCTATGAAGAACTGCCAACTTTTCCATTTTTGCACTTTGGGGCCATTATTATGCAAAATTAAGAGGTATTTTTGGGCCACAGTAAACAGTGGATAATTGAAACTGCAGATATCAAATAAGTGGATATGGGGGTTCTACTGTAAATATATGTTCATGGGGATATTTTAATACTGTACTACGGAAAAGTAGTAAGTAAAATGTTTTAATATGAAACTAAATGCATTTTTATAATAATTTTTAAAGTGGTAAACTGGTAAGCCAGTGGAAGGCCTCAGTCAGATGACCAGAAGTTCCAGCTGTGGGTCATAATGTGACTAAGACCAGCATCAGATCAATCTTACTTGTTTCTGTTAACTAAAATTTGGCTAAACAGTACATGAAAAAAAATATTTTAGTGAAAAAAGTAGAAATGTGTGGAGATCCTGTAAATCTCTTCTCCAAAACTTGTAAATACACTTACACAAGCTTAGATAAATGTAAATCTGTTCTCCAAAGCTTGTAAATACATTTACACAAGCTTAGATAAATGTAAATCTGTTCTCCAAAGCTTGTAAATACATTTATAGGAGGTTAGATAAATGTAAATCAAATCACAGCTTTATGTATGTAACCTTTGTAAATATTTCTAAATTTATTGACATAGGCCTCTCTACCAATAGGCCTATTGTTTTAATGGTTAAAGGACAGTCATAAACACTTTTTTAAGTAGATAGTAGAAAAACAATAAGACAGTTGTATATATCATAGCCTATTATGAAATATATGTTTTTATAGTATATAAGAAAGTGCACCAAAGTCTTTTCTACACCCATAGTTACATTATTTTTTTGCAGAACTAGTCACATTCACGTGAAAATTTGATTTCCTGTCCACAGGCTTTGCTTTTTACACTAAATAATACATTATGTAATATTCCTGTATGCAAATTAAAGAGAATGATAATCATTTTGTGTTTTAATTGTTAGTAATTCAAATTCAAAGTTTGTTCTCTATAAGGATTACAATGCTGAGTTTACAGAATTTGGTTGTGTGGTTTACATGTAGTAAAATAGTGATTACAGAGTGTACCACTAGAACACCTAGCATGGCTAGGCATTTTCGGCAGACTTAAATTAAATCTTAAGTTTAAAATACTACAAAATTATGAGGTAAGTTGGTATTATGGCTAAGTGACTAAATACTAGTTTGTGAGTTTAGCAATGTGAATGCTTTTGTTTTGGCACAGTATATAGTTTCAGTATGGGAGTATCACAGGCCAACTTATGACTAGTTAAGATTCATTATTTTGAGACTGAGATTGATATTTCTGTTTATGGTCAAATGGGTGAGTGAAAGTGTGAACCACCAGGTGGTATTCGTGTAATTAGTTGACGGGGTGTATCAGGGAGATAAGATGTTTTCTGATGGTAGTTTTGAAGGTGATGAATGTGTCTGCAGTTCTAGAGTTCTCAGGTAGGGTGTTCCAGATTTTAGGGCCTTTGACATACATTGAATTTTTGTAAAGGTTTAGTCTGACACGGGGAATGTCATAGAGATGTTTGTGTCTGGTGTTGTGCCTGTGGGTTCTGTCGCAACTATCAAGAAAGCGTTTTAGGTCAAGGTTAATATTGGAATTTAAGGTCCTGTAGATGTAGATTGCACAGTAGTAACTGTGGATGTACTGAACAGGGAGTAAGTTTAGATCTATGAAGAGTGGGGGGGGGGTGTTGCCAGGGATGGGTTATTATTGGCTTTAGGTGTGTTGCTGCAGTTGAACCCCAAGCACAGATAGCATAGGTGAGGTATGGATATATAAGTGAATGGTATAGTGTGAGAAGGGCAGTTTGCGGCACGTAGTATCGTATCTTCGAGAGGTTTATAAGCTGGTAAACCCCTCAAGGAAGGTTAGTTGATGCTGGTGAAGGGCTCCTGATCTAGGGAATTGGATCTGTGCACCAGTTCCCTGAATTAAACCTGAATGCCTTCCAATTCCTCCCCCCCCAGACGCTGTATAATCCTACGGGTTTAGTGTTCCCCTTTGATTATAATAATAATAACCTGGTAAACCATCTTGACTGATGGCAGTGTATATACACTGAGATGGTTATGTCTGTATATACTGACATGTGCATCTCTAAGTATAT